AGAGGGGTGGCGATAGTACGGGGCACCCTGGCAAAGTTGAAAACCACAAACACTCCTTATTTCCACTGGGAGCTGGCGCCACAGTGGAGATTCTGCAAGCTGAGGGTGTCTGAGACTGTTGGGGACAGCTTCACCACCCGTCAGAACCCGTGTCCCACGTGCAGAGACCGAGCCATGCCCATCATGGCAAAGGGTAACTTATGGTCCTGAGCCTCTGGCGTCCGGCATTCCAAGGGTGGAGAGGCCTCACTGTCATAGCCAGGTCCTGGATCATCACAGGAAGAACACCCATCCTGGGAACACAAATGCCACCTTAGGATGAGCTGCAGAATCCAGGTGTCAGAATCAGTGCTGGGCAGAGCCAGGAGGTGGAGTCAGGGCCCAGCAGTAGCACCAAGATCAGGGTGGCCTTCAAGTGGCCCCTTCAAGTGGCCTCCCTTTCTAAATGTGGTCCAGGGGCATCCATCTCACGGCACAGGAAGGGAAGAGCTGGCAGGCTGACTGAGTACACATCTGCCCTTGTCACCAGGCCTGTCCTCTCCTGGGACAGCAGGGTATCAGAAACCACGTTCTTTGTTACTGTTTCTCTCAATCACTGAACTCGTGTGCCCCTGGGCAGTGTTCCGCTCCGGGGCCCTTTCCAGGTGGCCGAGGTCAAGACCACACCTCCATGAACAGTGGTGGGCTCTGCTCTCAGGACATTTCAGCTTGATTCTGGGCTACCAACCCCCAAGCACGGGTTATCATCTCATTGAACTTGACCCTGGGCCAGTCTGGACACCTGCAGTCATCTGCTCCATTGTGGATCACACAAATTTTGCAGACTTGCTCTCTGGGCCAGGACCGGTCGGCCCCTGAAGACTCTCCCCACCTTCCCCTTCCCCTTCAGGCTTTTTGCTGTCCCAACTCTCAATGCCCTATTCTCAGACAGGGCCTCAGAGCAGATCACTGGAATGCACCATGTTCACCAGAAGCAGTGTATTCTCTCTCTCTCTCTCTCCATGTATCTGAGGTGTGTATTTGGAAATGCCGTAAGTGTGACAGTGCAGAAGGGGGATGACCTAGGACAGCATCTCCCAAGTGGTGCTCAGCGGAACACTCATTCTAAAGGATATTAAGAGGCAGGCAGAGGGGAAAATTTACATATGTTGCTTTACTGCAGAATTTGTAAGCGACTTTATACTCTCCTCTTCCAAGAGAAGAATGTGGAACTTCCCAAATATATTGTGAAGCGATATTTTTCAAGAGATACATCCCAGGAGATACCCGAGTAATTGTAGCGATTCCAAAGTTGGCAAATGAGTGCGCAGAGGAGGACGGACCAAGGCATCCAGCCGTCAGTGGAGCGCACATCTGGGACTGGCCTGCCCAGCATGTAGATGTGTTTTGTTTGGCCCTGAAAGTCTGAATTGGTTGCCAAGATTTAAAATTTGGGAGGCCTAACTCTCTCAAATGGGGAGGGGACTGGATTCTGGATGGCAGGTGGGTCACAGCCCTTGATGAACCACCCATCCTCCCGGCTACAACATAAGGGCCGTCTCCACGTGGGGACCTTGTCCATCTTTTCGTCTTTCCAGCTCCTGTCCCATCCTAGACCCAGTGCCCACCGCAGTGCATCAGTACCGTTTGTATCCAAGGAGGGAACTGAAATCAGCCTTCGGGGGACAATCTCCGCGTCTGCTACCTGCTTTCTAGTTCCCATCTTCATTTCTTGCATCTGAATATTTTTCAAATTCTAACTTTAAGACTATTCCTCCCATAAACAGAGACTTTCCAAAACTGGAAATGTACCTGGTTGACAAACATATGGGGAAAGCTCAGCTTCAATGGGAATCAGAGAAAAAGAAATTAAAGCAATTAACACTTATAGCCTTTAAAAAAAAACTGGGGAGACCTCACATAGAAATCTAGATTTCTGTCTTCTCTTCCAACGCTGGCCACGCTGGGTCTGTAAATTCCTCAGGGCAACAACCGTAAGGAAGCTGTGGGGCTGCCCTCTTTAGAGAAAACTTGTGCTTTGCCCCATGCTCTGTGGCCTCTGAGTTTGTAACCCCTGCTTTCCACAGTAGGCACGGATTAAGTAATCCTGAAATTTATTGAAAGTTATGCATTTGGACCTAAAGATGTGATACACCATGCTGAAGCCTCTGAGTATGTCTAATTGGTAATGGAGACAACTCTTGTTGAAAAAGAAAAACCTACAGATATTCCATGAAAAATCATGGGCAGAGAGTTGATCCCATTTCTGAGGCAAATAATGGAACAGCACAGACAGGATTGAGGAGTTCAGCGATCATCTTCAACTTCTTTTGACTCTAAAGCCCAAAAAAGGCAAGTTGGTGTGCCATGAAAATTCACGGTGCTCTGGTCCCTAAACTAACTGTGTGACTTAGTCAATGGGTCCCACCCAATGGCTATTCAAGAGGCACTGAGCATGTGCACAGGTACCCAGGGGCTCCCACACCTGTGACAGGTAGGAGGCGTTATCTGCACAGATATAAGCAAAACTCGAGGCTCAGCAAAGTTAGGAGGACCCTCAAAGGCCAAGCAACTAGTTAGTGGTGGTGGGATTCCACGTGGGTCAGTCAGGGCCCAGAGTCCCCGCCCTCCCCCCAACACTACTCTCAAATTCAGTGGCACCCCAGAGACGAGGGCAGAAAAACATGACCTGCTCCCTGTTTGGATAAAGCGTCAGGTTCCAAGACCCCGTGATTATCCTGGCCGTGGCTGCAGACAACAGTACCATACTTGAACAGAAATCAGCAGGATTTTACATCTGGTCAACACCAGCAAAATCCACTGGGACTTTTGTAGGAGCATCCCTGGGGCACCGAGGTAACATGTCTGATTAGTTTCAGATGCAGAGCTCAGGGTGTGCAATCCCAACGCAAACCAACTGAACAGACCTGAGGATTGCTGTGAAGCTCCTTTCCTTTATGTTTGGGTGGACTCTGAAGGAAATGCCCTAGTTTTTCTCTGCAAACAGGCCAACCTCAGCTCAATGCACCCTGTTCGGGGCAGAGGCAAAACGGACCAATGGTCACCTTCTAATTTCCTGTCCAATAAAATATGAACTTGGTCTTGGAATTGTCCTTAAGATTGAAGAGCTGTACTTGAACATTATTAGAGGGTGTATACAGCCACCTGGGGAAATGCTCGTGATAAACTGTTGGCTAAAAATAAACCAAAATAAAATAGTATTGACACTACAGTTACATTAAGCAGACAGAGACTCGTGTGTTCATTTAGACAAAGCTGAAAAAAACATGAAAAATACAAAGGCATTCATTCATTTTGGTGATCAACTTATGCTTTTTTTTTTTAAAAAAATCTACTTTATTTCTATTAACGTTTCTAAAACATTGCGTGACTGGTTCTTAAAATTATCTAAAAGGTAAGAAAAAGGAGATTATCACACTAAGTGAAGTAAGCCAGTCAGAGAAAGACAAATATCACATGATATCACTTATATGTGGAATCTAAAAGAAGAAAAAAGATACAAATAAACTTATTTCCAAAACAGAAAGAGACTTACAGACATAGAAGACAAACTTATGTTTACCAAAGGGGAAAGGGAGGTGGGGGGAGGGATCAATTAGGATGTTGGGATTAACATGTACAGACCACTGTGTATAAAATAGATAAACAACAAGGACTTACTGTATAGTACAGGGAACTCTACTCAATATTTTGTAATAACCTATAAGCGAAAAGAATCTGAAAAAGAATAGATATATGTATGAATGAATCACTGTGCTATACACCTGAAACTAACATGATATTGTAAATCAACTATACTTCAACAGTAACAAAAAAAAGAAGGATGAGCTGCCAGGAATTAACCTGCCTTTCTAACTAAGAATGAAGAAAGGAATTATGACAGACTGGTTCTGGTGCAGAGACAGATTAACCAGTCTATGGAATGAGTGCAAGTAACAGACCGACGTGTATACGGAAACTGGACAGAGGACCAACGTGGAGCTAGGAACCAGCTAGGAAAAATAGATCCCTTCTTGACACCACGCCCAAAAATAAACTCCAGGTAGACAAGAAGCCCAAATGTCAGAAAGCAATGCTAAAACTTTTACAAGAAATTCAGATAATCTTTAGTCCTTTGTGGTATGAGAAGGATCTCTCAAATATTCAAATATCATATACGTTCAGGAGAAAAAGGACAAATTCAACACTATTCAAATCAAAAAGCAGTTTTCATACAACAAAATAAAACAGTTGAATTCAAGCCACTGTCTTAGAGATTCTTTGTGTGTAAATAACTGTCTAAAGAGAAATTAACGGTTAAAAAAAAAGTAATGTCCCAATTTTAAAAAAAAAGAAGGTTATGAAAAGACAATTCATAGAAGAGGAAACTGAACTGGTCATACACACATGACAAGATGCTCATCCTTACTGATCAGAGTATTGTATCTTAAAGCCACACGAAATGCCATTGGGCACCTGTATGACTACAACGCCCATTAATCCCCGTATCGGTGGATGTGGAGTGGCAGGCCACTACAAACGGGACGGCTGGAGGACGTGGACACCAGGTCACCATTTTGGAGAGCAATCTGCCAATATTCCAAAAAGTTGCAGGTGAGTTTTCTCTGAAGGTCTAATAATTTCTCTTCTCGAAAAGCTCTGTGTATAAATGGAGACCTATGTATGACGTGCTTATTGATTCCAGTGGTGAAAAACCAGAGCAACCCAAGTGTCCATTCATTAAGAAATGGATACATAAGTGAACTAACAACACATACGTCATCAGGGATAAATCTTCAACACATGATGTCGAGTGGAAAACTACACTCAGAGTATGGTACCATCTATATAAAAGGTACAAACAAACAAGCCAATACTATGCATTATTTGTAAATACCTGCAGAGCTAGAAAGAGCATGAAGACAGAACTATGGAGAACAAGTCCCCAGTCAGGGTGCGGTGACCTCACAAGTATCGGTTGGGTCACCAGGATGAAAGACCTCCCTCCGTCCATGACTCACCTCAGATGCCAGTTCCCAGGGCTACTCCTCTCCCACGAGGGGCTTTTCTGGGGGCCCAGTTCTGGGGTCCCAGCCAGGTCCTGGTCACTGCAGTCTTCCTGGTCTGTGGCCCATTTGTCTTTGGATTTCGTGCTGTCGTGTTGGGAATCCAGGGACACGATGTCCGAGGGGGAACTCATCACTCCCGAGTCCTCTGTTGTGTCCTCTGAGGCAAAGCAGCTACCAACAGACACAGTCTCCTCGGCCTCCGACGGCAGTGCTGGGACCCCGTCCACAGCGCAGGGACCGCCAGGCCCCAGGGGCAGGCTCACTGGACGAGACACATAAGGGCAGGTCAGGCAACGCTCCGGTGACTTCCCCACTGCCTGACTCATCTGAAATCTGGAATTTGGGGTGCGAGGGAGGACCCCTCACACACACCACTTCCCTCTGGACACATTTTAACTTGGAAGGAGTTGCGTGCATATGTGACTGAGAGCAACATTTTCCCTAAAAAAATCACCCTATTTTGAATTAACCTTTGGAATTGTTATCCTGTACGTGACTACAAGCAAACAACATTAAAAAATTCAAACTAACGACATGGTGAATGCAATTGTTTCTAGTCTGACCCTTGGTTTAACAGAAGTTGTTAGAAAACGAGTTCTTTGGAGAAACTAGGGGTTTTCAAAATAGAAACAAACTTTGAAAAAACTCATCTTGTTCGGGAACTTCTAACTTCCCAGGAACGTGTACAATTTGGCTTTAAATATTAATGACAGTCATTGCCAGCATCTGGCTTTCTCTTTATTTTTACTTGTGAGAGTTCGATCTGGTTTAAATAAGAGATGCTCGTAGAAGAGAACCCGCAAGTAAAATGTAGCAGAATGAGAACAAAAGTGTTCTTGGATGAGGTCACTGTGCCCTGAGCACTGAATGTGGTTCAGGGCAGCAGACGGCATAGGATGCACCGATTGTAACTTTCTGCGGAGGCGCGAGTTCATTCCCTCAGACTCTAATCGTGACGATGGGGCACTGCGGCCACGCGTCACATCTGTCCAGCTATTCCGAGGGACAGTAAGTGTTAGGAGAGTGTGGGCACCAATTTCCCCCTTAATGGGCTGTGAGGTTGAAAACTCCATGCTTGGAGAAGAATCCCCCTAATATTGAGGTGGTAGGACAGGAATATAGAACTCCGGACCAGCCTCAGACCAGAGGTGCTTTTTAAATTGAATGTAGATATAGATTTTAAACCTCAAGGCATAGGATCTAAGCACTGCTTATGGCCATCCAGGAAATAAGGACTGTGTTGTGCTGTAGTTTCAGTGTGTTTTGTTTGAAAAGCGCTCCTCCAATAAGTAAATTGCTGGATGCCTGAAATGAATAAAGGCTACACACATGTCGAGTGCAGACTCCACAGACTCATGCCCTGATAGACAAGTGACATCATAACACCGTCAATACACACTCAACACCGTCAATATTTTAACTGGACAGCAGACTAGAGACACAGAGTTAACAAAACCAAAAGAGCACTGAGGAGAAAATTCCCGGAGCTGCTGGTTTCTTGGAGATCCCAAACAGTAAAATAAAAGGACAAGATCAAAACAACAGAAACAAAGGAACCAGACATTTCACAAAAGAGCTCACAAATAAAGATCAGAAACAAGGGAGGAATTGTTTAGAGAAGCAAAGGCACAAGGCAATGTGTCTGAATGCAGTGAATGCTTCTGAACAATGACCTCTTTCTTCTAGCTTTCTTCCTGGCTTTTGTTGCAAGACTCTTAATTAGAGGGCAAATCCGGAGAAGAAACACTGCCTATGGATTAATACCACCCAAGCCTTTTCTGCCGTGGGTCTGCTGAGAAGCTGTCACACCTCGGATGTTGTGTGCTGGCTACTCTGTCCACACAGCCAGCGACTCTGCCGGAGATGTCACTCCTGGACGCTCCTGCCATCCAGAGAGGGCAGGAGGGAGGGAGGATGGAAGGATGCTCGGAGCACCGGGCAGGTCTACCAGCTAGTAAGAGAGATGAGCTCCTGCTAAGGCTCAAGCCTCCTGTGAACCACTTCCGAGAGTGCTGTCAAATCCGGCATGGATTTGAAGATGGGAATGGACATCCCCACGAGGCTCTGTACCGGGGTCAGTGTTAGTTTGTTTTCAGGCCGTTTCTGATTCTCTCCGCAGTCTGCGCTGTCAGCCTGAGACTCTTTTGCTTGGAATCAGACATCCCCATCTGCTCCCTTATTATCTTTTCTCTTTTCCACTGGTTCCTATTATTAACCTCATGAACTATAACATGTTTTGACAATTTCTGTTGGAGATGATGGAGCAGGAAACTGCTTTTTCTTTATTGATTCTAAACAGAAGCCTAAGACACAAAAGGAAAACTTGGAGCTGCTTGGCCTCAGGTCCTGTCCTGCAGATCCTTCTGTGCAGCCCACTTTCTGGCCTCACTCAGCCCCTGAGGGTTTCCACCAAGCCAGTGGTCCAGGGACCCAGCCTGAATCCCAGAGCCCGGTCCAATTTCTACTCAGAACTTTGAACAACCCTTTCCCCTTTCTGTAAAATAAGCATGACATCCCTTCTAGAATTCTATCCTTTGAAATTCCAAATCCAAAGACAGGATGTAAACATTTTTGACAGTTGACTGGTGACTAATTAGGAATCTTAAAAGAAAAAAAGCATGGCCTTTTTTCCTCTCTGCTATTTTCCGTCACCCCTAAGAGTAAGTCGCTCTTTTTGAGTTGATTAATGCGTTGGCAAGTTCGCTCTTCTCTTAAGGCGTGAACAACCTTTTTGAACTGAAGGGTTATTATTGCGGGATTTTTGCAAATGTGGAAAAACACAATTTGTCTTTAGCAGATGCCAAATATAAATTCACGATTACATTCTCTTCCAGATAAATAGCCACAGAGCCCGAGTCCAGAATATTAACGCTTCCATTGTTCTCCACCTGAATTACATAATCCCATGGCTCAAACGCCATTACAGCTAAATGAGAGCAAAAATTCTCGAGCTCAGGCGTAAAGCAGAAAGAAGAAGAAAGTGCTAACTGAAGGCTACTAATTCTTCAGGTTGAACACAATCATTTCAGTTTGGCATGAGTTCCATCGAGTTTTTCTTTTACAAAGTCACCAAAGACAATTTCTAACACCAAATGTAAATATCTTCTGGGTATTTTGGTAATGGATTCATTTTTATTAGTTTATTAAATGCAAATGAAAGCTCTTGTATGATATGATATTGTTTATTTGCTGGTCATTATGAAGGGAGATTTGTCAAGAGTCAGTTTCCCCAGGCTTATCCGCCCAGAGAAAATGTCTCATCGAAAGACTAACCTCAAAAAAAAAAAAAAAAAAAAAAAAAGCCATGAGGGGCTTCCCTGGTGGCGCAGTGGTTGAGAGCCTGCCGATGCAGGGGACACGGGTTCGTGCCCCTGTCCAGGAAGATCCCACATGCCGCGGAGTGGCTGCGCCCATGAGCCATGGCCACTGGGCCTGCGCGTCCGGAGCCTGTGCTCTGCAACGGGAGAGGCCACAACAGTGAGAGGCCCACGTACCGCAAAAAAAAAAAAGTTAGAGAGCCTAGTAAGGTACTCTTGGCCTCAATCAATCTATATTTCTCCAAAGCCTGAACCATAACCCTAATCCTAGCATCCTAACGTGCCTGTTAGAGACACAGAGAAAATCCCAGTTTCACCCGTGTGAAGACAAGCCTGCTCTCCGCTTGCCATTCTTTGAAAACATATATAGAAAACAGCTGCTGCTTCTATCCATCTGCACTGCCCCCTCCCTGTTTGTGCTACGTGAGTTCCTCCTTCCGGGAGCTAACCTAGTTCTCAACAGCTGGGCCAGTCTAACTGCCCCCTCACTACTCCTGGCCACAGGGCACGGATGTGAGATGTGGGTCATGGATGTGACCCAAACATGGTCAGTTGATACCGTGGTCCAAAGATGGGCACGTTTCCTAAGCTGGACCAATCAAGGCCTTTCTTGGGGCCTTCTGGCCAGAGATACTGGGCAGGTGGTCTGCTTGGGCTGAAATCCATGGAGTAGGAGGGGTCCTGGATAAATGACAGTCTTCTGGACCAGCGTGTGGAGAGGGCTTGTCCACAGACAGAGAAGAGCACAGACCTAAGACAGCGCTTGGGCTTGGGGACCCCACCATGTCCGTAATAAGGATTCATCTCTTAAAATTCCCAGGTATGTGAGCAAAAAAAAAAAAAAATCTCACAAAACCCATTCTTTTGTAACTCCTTCAATACATGTTTCTTGGAATTAGATAGTCTTGTCTAACAAATGTCTAAATTGCCCTGATTTCTGCATGAAGTACACACACACACAGAATTTCATATTATGGTGTTTCCATGACAGGAACTTTTATTTTAAAAAATATATTAAAGGTGACAGCTGCATATCATGTTTCCCTTTCCTGGATTTATCTTCCATTATTCAGATTACACATTTGAGTAATTCTATTTTCGGAATAATCTGGTTTAGGATCTAGTTTACTCTCTAAGCCCTCTTGTGTCTTCACAAGGTTGTCTGCATTTAATCTTTCACTGTCAGTATGGCTAAAATGAAGTCAGATTCAGATCAAAATCCTTCTTCCTCAAGATTGAATTCTCAGCACCACTGTTGTCTGGCATCCCACCTCACAGATAAGAACCCAAACGCTAGCATGATTCTTTCCAACTATAAATAACCTTATCTCTAGAAGCTAGTAAGATTTTCCTCTTTACCCATGTATATCAAAAAATTCACCAAAATGTGTCTAATTTTGTATGTCTCTGAGGATATGTATTAATTTCCAAGAACTTTTGGAAGTTCTTTTTTTCATGTGTTTTCCAATACTAGCTTGCTCTTGTTTTATGTATGTAATAATCTGTTAAAATTTTCTGAAGCAATAACAACAAATATTTAAAGTTCTGCTCTGTTGCCTAAATTAGCCCTACTTCCTCTGGAGTTAGTTCCTCTAATCAGTTTGTGGTCCTTCCTCCACACACTGAAAAAAAATTTTGTTTAGTGATTCTTGACTGTGCTAAATGATGGTGTCAGTAATGTCAGGAACTAGATTTCTTTTGTACACGTGACCATCACTGTTGCCTTAGGAGAGAGCAGAAAGCCTTACGGCAGATTGGGCTGAGCAGATTCCCACAGGGAATCTGCAGGGAGGAAAGTTGCTTTCTGGGGAAGACTACGCCTGGATGCGGTGGCCAGTATCTCTCAGCAGCCATAGTGCCGACTTTGGTTGACGGTTCTTAGACCCAGTTCCGCCACATTGAAACTGAAGTTTCATATTATTTTCACGTGCCTATTTTATTTAGC